TAAAATTTTTACTAATTACTTGTAGAAAGCAGTTTATTATATTAGAGGGTTTGGTTATAAAGGTCAACTTTGGATATGGATAAATTGATGGGCATGACTGAGGTGGTTTGGTCAAATGATCTGTTGCAAGTTGAAGGGGCTAGAAGAGCTAGGCAGACCGAAAAGGACTTGGATGGAAGTAGTACGAAATGATTTAAGCCCCAATAATTTAACGATGGATATGATACTAACAGAATAAAATGGTGAAACAGGATTCATGTAGCTGATCCCCATATTGTTGGCACAAGGCTTAGATGATGATGATAAATTGATGGGCATCTTTCCCAAGGCAGAGGTTTGAAGATACTGTAATTGCTGGATCATTGGTTGGAAGGATTGATCAAGTACTGTTCTAGGGGGCTTTTGGTAAGGAGCTTGGTATCATTCTATTTTCACCTACTGTTACATGATCTGAACAGTTTGATCTGTTAGATTTGATAATGTTGAGGAACAAGATTGGAGGTCCTCTCCTCACATTAACTATTCATGAGTTCCTTGAGGTTATGCATATCTTGGATTCTTTTGCTTCTTATATGAACTTATTTTTTACCTGCCATTAGTTATGCGTATCCTGTTTCTTCTTTGTTGTTTTTCTTTTTCTCTGTTGCCATTAGGTTATGCATATCCTGTTTCTTTGTACGCTTCTTTGGCTGTACCTTTGTGTGCAGCTTATTTTTAATGAATTTTCTCCGTGTTGCTTATCAAAAAAATGTGTTATTTTTATTATATTGTATATTACATATAAATATCAAAATATGACACATTTAATACATATTATATGTTATATAACATAAAATATTATATATTTAAATTTATAGGCCTGGAAGCCCAGCCCAGCCCATGATCACCCCTAATATGCTACTAAAATCGAAGATACTGAGGATTCAATCAATCCTAAAAACTAGAAAAAAGAGAAAGGAAACAAGCTAATAAAGAGACTTTCCTATGATAGGCATAAAAAAGTTCTGATTGAAGTCCTCCAACTGTCCAACCATGGTGAGGAGTGCTTCCACCCAAACTCCATTTGTTTGAAAACCTTGAGAAGCCATTAGGTGTACAAAGGGCCATTTGACAGGTGAAGGGGATAAACCGGATGATTTAGTGTTTTGCATTTTACTGGATAAAATAATTGAATAATAAAATATTCAAGAGTATAGCAATCAACACATCAGCTATATCCATTAAGGCTATGTTTAGTTAAAATTCTGCATACTATTTGGAGAATGAATTTTGATCCACCCCCCCCCCCCCCCCAAAAAAAAAAAAGTCCAGCAATTTTCATATATAAATACTTAAAAATGATTCTTATAATCACAACGTCTGGTAGTTCATCTTCATTAATTAGCATTTTATAGGAAAAATGGTACTGACTGTGTATGTTAGCTGCTCGTATATGTGAAATAAGTAGGAGAAGAAAGGAAAAATGTTGTGTGGAAGTGTCCCTCAAGAGTCCATGTAATGTCGGAATCCAACGTGTGTCTGATACATACACATCCATTTAGGAGAGTCCATGCGATACTGATCAGTAACAAGTAACCTCTTGCAAGTTGAAGGATCTGTAAGAGTTAAGGGCAGGCAAATTGAATAAGTGAGATATGATCTGAGAAGCTGCATAATTGAATAATGTATAAGACACTGAACAAAGTGAAATGGTGGAACAAGATTTATGTGGTCAAACCCATATAGTTGGGAAATGGCTTTATTGTGTTCAGTTGGGCTGACTGTATTAGTCTCTAGAATACAAGAAACTTTGCTTTCATTTGGGAGAAGTGGAACTTCTCTCCTAGGATGTCGAAGCCAATACTACATAAGAATTCTATGTGGGACTACTGATTCTGTCTCATCAATGTGAAAGAAATAGGTATGTTGAGATGGACGAGTGACAAACTAGAAAATACAAGATTAGAAATGAGTTTATTTACTGGGGAGTTAAGCTCAATAGATGATAAAATGAGGTAAAATAAATTAAGATGGGTTAAAAAATGGTGACAAATAGCTAACTATTGTGCAAGTAAGAAGTGTTATTATGCAAGTTGAAGGTTCTAAAAGAGCTATTGGCAGGCAAAAAAGAATATATGTTGAGGTATTGAAAATGATATCAGGGATTGCAATTTAACCATGATGGATATAACCTTGAGAGTGTGGAATGGAGACACAGGATTGATATAGCCAACCCCGCATTTGGGAAGGTTTTGTTAAATTGAATCGAGTCCCATTCAGCTTGCAGCAGATAATGATATGATTTTTTTAGCAGTTCAGTGATTCCTTACTTTTTTTAATATTTTATTAATTATTACTTATTGCTCTTTCTAAGAGCCACAAATTTCTGATTGACTATTTGGCTTCATTATTGTAGTAAGGTTAGCTTAATGGTGTCCCATATACCCAGTCAAATCTGGCTGTATAATTTTGGCTTCATTAAGTACACTTGAGTTAGGGTCCTTTATATCTCTTATTCATGATCCTCATTGGTAAAGAACAACAGATAAAGATGAAAGTTATCCAAAGAATGAATAGAAAAGAAAAAACGAAAGATAAAGATGAAAATGAGACATCTAACCGTCTACATGCCACTGATTATATCAGATGCTTATTTTCTTTGCTGTTTTGCACTAAATGTTTGATGAGATTCATAAATACAAGACTGCTTGAATCCCATTACAACATTCTATTACATGATGTAAAGTTCTATTTGTCAGATACTTGATAGTTGGACGTTTGGCCAATAAAAAATCCTTTGCAGCCACTGTTTTTTTGAAAAGTAAAATGAAGCATCCTCCAGGTGTTAAGATAACACCTGCCCAACAATTAGCAAAAACAAAATCAAGAGCACAAAACAAGAGGGTACAAGAGAAAGCCCCCAAACACAGCCATCTTAAACATCTTCAAACAATTCATCTTGTCCATCTCCTTCCACATTCCATGCCTCTCCTTCCCTAACAGCGATCTTCCTCAAGATCTCTTCCCTCTTGCTTTTTTCAGATGCTTTGAAAGCCCTTCTATCTAACTCCTCTCTGCCTCAAAAAAACAGATCCAAGCTCTTGCCTACCTTAACATCCCTGCCAACCAGACATTTAATCTCCACTTCCTCCCTTTCTCACTCGCATTGGCTGATGACGATGCAGGTAAGTTCTTCGCACTATCCTGATTGCCCCGACTCCTTAGTCCTTATCCTCAATCTCTGACCTCGGCTCCAAACCTTCCTCAGAAGCTGACGTCCTCTGCAACTTTACCCCGTGTGGATCTTGACCTTTGGCTCCCCAGAACTCAGCAATCTTCTTCTACTTCAAAACTTTGCCCTTTGAACCTCTTTTCTTATGGACTTTTTTAAATTTGTTAGTAGAACCAGCACCAACCAGTTCGCCTTTCAAACGAGAGAATACTCTTTTCAGTCACTTTTCAGTGTCCTAATTAATCCCATATACTGAATTCTGTGTTGCATTTGCATATATTGAAGTATTATATTTACCATGCTACTTTAGAATTTGAGATTTTATGCTTGTTTAAATGGTCCTCTAAGTTTCCCCCTTCTTTCCAGTAACCAAATGTTTTTTTTTCCCGACATTTGTCATGTTTGAATAGGGATTGACTTGTGAATATGAACTTACTGAATATAAATTAGGGCTTCTTGATGAAATTGACTTTTTATGTCTATGGGTGTCAAGGGTGCTCCTTTATGGTCCATGGTTCCTCTTGCAATATGTTGTGTCATTTGGAAGGAATCTTTGGTCATATGGAGATTTTATTTGTGGGCCTTTTTGCTGATGTTAGTAACTATTTGACGGATTAGTTCTTGTTCTTCATGATTTAAAATAATATAGTTTTGTCTATGATTAATTTTTGGGTTTAGAGGATGGTATACTGTGAAGATCCTTTTCAGTGAATGATCAACATATACAAATCTTCATCTATATTCTACTTGGTCAAAATTGCTAAAATTGAAATTTCTTAGTGATAGGTTATCTTATTATTTAGTTTTGCTAATACCTAAAGCAACTTTTGATGTGGTTAATAGTGCATAGTAGGCTGTTGCTTCAAGTTCCCTTGTTTGTTTGTTATTTCTTATCACTTTTTATATTGCTAGAGGAAAAGACCAATTACAGGTTAAGTTGATCCACAATTTGAAACATTATGTTCAAAATGCTCTGAAAAGTAGGTATTGCTGTGATTTCACAGGGATTTTGCCTTTTGTCCCTTCCTGTGTATTTGTATCTTGTTTGCATGTCTAGCCATGTCTTGCGCAAATTGTTTTGTGGCATTTCTGTTGAAATAGTTGAATGAATTATTCTGGACATCATTTATTGGCATTGTCATCATTATAGTCTTAATTATCAACTATGCCTTACATACTATATGAGGTCAGCCACAAGAGACCTTCTATCATTGCAATCCATTTGGGGCCATATCCTTTGTATTTGTTCACATCTTTCAATTAGTTTCTCTCATGTCCTATTTGGCCTTTGCTTGTCCTTTAGAGCCTTTATCTTGCACCAAATTCCTTTTCAATTGTTCAACATTTTCTTGTTATGGTGGTGATTTAGGGACATCCCATTTCCTCAATGAAATGCAATAATTAACCCTACTTTGAAATGAGTATGTAGAGATCAAATTTGTATAAAGTTCCAATCTTATTTCGGATTGATTAGACTTGTGTCTATGTAGGTGTTCCTTTTGTTGCATGATAGCTCATGATCCAATTATTATTAGTTACTGCCTTACGGGTGCAAACTTCCTTAGGGCTTGCCCATGACCTTTCTTTCTCATGATGCAAGAGTTTTGTGTCCAAATACCCTTATTGCCTGCTTGCTCATCAAACACTTATTTATTGAAAAAAGTACATGGGTCCCATGCAAATTGGTTGAAAGGTATTTGTACTATACTACTATCCTTGTTCAATAGGAAATTTTTTGTCGAGATGTCTAGGTGAAGGATGTTTCTCTTGATCTCCACTAATGTTTCAGGCCTGAAACGGAGGAGGAGAAGATGCTCAAAGAAGAGATAAATCAGCTGAAGAAGGAATTGGAGAAAGAAGCTGTTGTAGATGCAAATGGAGAATCTTTGCAAGCATCTGAAGAGCAAACTAGTTTTCGTGAACTGATACATAGCAAGGAAAGGGACTTGGAGCTGTTGATTCGTGACTTGGATGACAAGATTCGGTTTGGGCAGAAGGCCATTGATAGGCCTGGCTCGGGGTCTGGCAGGGCTGTTCCCTTCCCTGAGAGGCCGCCTTCTCAGTCTGGTCTTTCAGAGGATTCTAGAAGCATTGAGTTCATGGAGAGACCTCGATCCCGGGGCACAGGAGATGTATGGACAAGGCCTGGAGAAGACAGGAGAGGATTTCATGGGGGAAGGGAAAGAGGATTTCTTGGCAACAGGGACATGGACAGGTACCAAAGATATTTTAATTCCAACACTATGCATCCTTTATTCTATTGCATTTTGGACCATATTGTGGTGGAAATATGATTCAAACTTTATTGATCAAAAAAATAAAAAAAGATTCAAACTTGTTATATTATATATGGAAATGCCTCGGTTTACCTTTATTGAGTGATTGGGGATGGGCATCTGTAGATCTTGATTTCTGAAAGGAGTGAAGTAGAAATTTGAAAACACAAGAGGAAGCTAATTGACTTTCATACAGGCACATACTATATACATACATTTGTGTGTATGGTTGGATATGTGCTTTGTTCTTTATTTTGCCAAACTTTCAGGAAATATCAGGGCGAACGAAATAATCACCAAATTTTGGGGAAGCCTAAGCAAACTTTGGCGTATATATTATGGTAAAAGATGAATTCATTAGAACAGCCAAACAAAAAACAAGATTACACAAGGCTTCCGAAACCAAAACTAAGCAAAAAGACGGAGGGGAGAGAGCACTCCCCCTCCACCTGACACTTATGGCACTGATGACTGGCCAGAAAGTGCGCAAACCACATTCAAATCCCTGCTAACATGTCTCTACGAAAGCCTGTTAAAACATCTCAGTTCAGCCCAGAATTATATAATTATTTTATATAAATAAACTATAAAATATAATGTATACAGAATTATAAATGTAACTTACTAAATTTATTTAAAAGAATTTTGAAGGATAAGGATGTAGAAATTGCAGTTATTTTGTTTTGAAATTCCATTTCATGCGGCTTGATTCTTACTCGAAACTAAAAACCTTGGATATGTTTATTATATGTGCTTATAAAACTATCTATTGGTGTTATTTGATATTTATATGGATTGATAGTACAACGTAGATTGTTTGAAGTTGCTGTAACGTCTGTAATTACTTTTTTATTTTCCAGGTCCAAGTCCAGGGAGAGATGGTGAGAAGTCTGTTGGTGTGGATTCATTAGATTTTCTTTTTTCTTTTTTGACACTGAAACAAAATAATGTTTTCTTTTGTTTACTCTTTTTGTTTTGTTTTCTGCTTTTTTTTTTCTCCTATCTGGGTTTTGCCTGAGAAAGTGAGGCAGGAACTTGGAAATACCGGAAAACCTCACATAATTTATTTTTACCACTTTGATACGGTGTAAAATTGCAATTTTTTGGGCTTGATGAGGCAGGCAGACTATTGTTCTTTTAACTTCGTTTCCTAATTTATATTACAAGATCTTCAGAGTAAAATGCAATGCTAGCTTTTAGGACGAGGTTATGTTTGACAGACATCCCTCTTATGGTTGTGGCCATTGTCCTCGTCCGTGAATCGTGAATTTGTGATGCAAGAGCAAGACAGACTGGCCTGCAACTTACAACTAGTATGAATTGAGAGGTTCTTCCGCTCTCTCTATTATTAATAACGGACCTAGCTTCCAACTATGGAGTCTTGCTTGCGTGCCACTAGTGCCTACTGCCTAGTGGTGTATTGACCGCCTTCCACAAACCCCCCTAAGATTTATAAGATGCTACATGGAAAACTAGGTTTTCAGACAAATATAATAGCAGAAATCGAGCTTGCACTTGTGGGATGATGATTTTATAGGAAAACATGGTGAAGCACAGTACAGTAAGTTAAGGTGTTCGGTTTGAGCCACACTATCACCACAGGTCAATTTCTCATCCACGGAAATTTTTTTTATCAAGAATGATCACGTGCTTCATATGGTATGTATTACTCAATTTAACTCAATTTTTATTAATGTTTTTGAACCGCGTTGATTGGGACAGTCGAACCGTTTGGCTCGGGAACCGTTCAGCCAATTGGTTCTGGTTCTGTTTTACCTCAAACATGGTTTTTGGCCAAAAACCATTGAATTGGTCAATGACCTGTTGGCTCAATTTCTTAACTTTGTTGTTAGAACAGGTTGTTCTTTTGAACTAGAGATCGAATTGTCAACCTGGGAACCAGTGGGCAGAACAGTTCTGGTTTGGGGCTATTTTTTAAAACATTGTTTTTTATTATGTATAGGGATGCAAACAGATCGGATCGAATTCGAATTAGGGTATATTTGAATACGATCTTACACTGTTCATGGTATATCCAATCCGATCCGAAGATTTGATCGGATCTGATAGGCAAGAATCTAAGTTTGAATCTGATTGGGAAGTCGAATCTTCGGATTTGATCTGTTCTGACCCGATTCGTTTTCTTTAAAAATTAATAAATTATTAAAAGAAAAAAACAAGGTTTTTAAAACCGAGTTGGACAATGAACCGATCAAGGGTTCGGTTCTTGGGTCGAACGGTTTGACCATTCGAACTGAACGGATGACCCGTTCTAACAAAAAAATTAAAAAGAAGGTCAAAACTATTGGACGGTTCGAACGGTTTGACTGCTTGGGTTAGCGGTTTGCTAACCAAATCAACGGTTTTTGACAAAATAATGGTTTGGGGTAAAACGGAACTGGTTACTTGATTGGTTCCTGGTTTTTTGGTTTGACCGTCCAGTCCGGTCCAGTTTTGAAACCATGAAAAAAATATACCAATTTAAATAAAGAAAAACTAAAAATACAAGTATTTTTAATTATTTTCATCATATATATACATGTTTTTTTATAAAAATAAATAATATAACAAATTTACAAAAATACAATATAAATAATATATTTATAAATAAATAAACAATTAACATACATATATGTATTATATATATATTTATATAAATAAATATATAATATATATCGAATCGAATCTTCTTAGATCGGATAGCGGTGATCCAAATCCGATTCGAAGATTCGAACAAGGATGATCTGAATTCAACCAAATGGGATCAAAACTTGGATATGATCATGATCCAATCCATTTGCACCTGTAATTATGTATATTATTACAAAATAAAATATTACTTCTTTTGTGTTATATAATATTTAATTTTATGTACATTTTTTAATTCAATATGTGCATATTTTATTAATCGGTCCATCGGTTTCGGTTGACACCCCTAATTTACCAGTTTTTCAATTTCTCCAAACCGATACCACTAGTTAACCGGTCCATCGGTTTTGGTTTTTATATTCATAATATATATTATATAAATATATGTATAATATTATATTATAAATAATAAATGATATATAGTATATTATAAATATTATAAAAATATATAGTATATATAATATATTTTTAAATAGATTATTATAAATATAATATATGTTTATATTTATAGATATAATGCATATATATTTATATATAATTAGGGGTGTCAATCGACCGGTTTTGGTTTGGATCCAATCCTATCCAAACCTTATCAAATCGGATTTGGATGGTCTATTATAAATATTGGATTGGGCCAATCCAAAATAAATTGGTCGATATTCTTATTGGTTTGAATTGGACGTAAACCAAATTTCCAATATTCCAATAATGAAGCCAAACCCTTGTCCAATTTGAAATCAATCAAAATTGAAGTCAGCATAAAATCACTTTTATGAAAACACTTTTATAAAAGTACTTTTATGAAAACACTTTTATAAAAATTATTTTTACGAAAGCACTTTTACAAAAATAGTTTTATGAAAGCATTTTTATAAAAGTATTTTTATGAAAGCACTTTTATAAAAGTACTTTTACACGAAACCACTTTTTTTGAAATCACTTTTACAAAAAAAATTTTTACAATACTTTTATGATAGCACTTTTTATAGTACTTTTGTGGAAGCACTTTTGTAAAAATCACTTTTACAAAAGTACTTTTATGAAAGCACTTTTGTAAAAATCACTTCTATGAAAGTACTTTTACAAAAGCACTTCTACAAAAGTACTTTTACAAAAGCACTTCTATAAAAAATACTTTTATAAAAGTCTATGGATCAATAAAGTGCTTTTGTAAAAGCACTTTTATGAAAATACTTTTGCAAAAGTGCTTTTATATAATTTTTTATATTTCATTCGGTTTGGAATGGATCCAATGTTGGATTGGGTTGGATTTGGTTTGTATTAGATTTGGACTGTATTATGTCCGGTCCATTGGAAAGTGGGCTCACATTGGACTGGATCAGGTTGGACCAAATCTGTCCAATTGACACCTCTATATAGTATATAGAAAATATATGACATGTTTAAAATATATATATGAAATATACATATAAATATATATACCGATCGGTTCGGTTAACTGTCGATTTTTTTCTAGGATAACTAAAAATCAAACCGATCCTTCGATTTTTCAAAAATACTGAACTAAAACCGAACCGATTAATTCAGTTAACCGTATTTTCGGATTTGATTCGATTCAATTTTTCGGTTTTCATGGACACCCCTACTGATCCCGCCTCATTTCCATTCCGCTCCACCATTACAACTACATATGACATGCAATAACACTGACTGCTTTCACTGTTCTTCCATCATCATCCCATCATGCATGCATTCATCTTGGCAATACGTACGTAAAAACTGTTCTGACTTTCCACCATTCCAATTCTCCTTTCCCCGTTCCCCGTTCTTTTTTTAGAGCCTTGTGCTCGGACCAAGTTGTTCCTTGTATTGCAGTCATTGGGTAGCTATCCATGTACGAGTTATCATTCATTTTCTGATAGAAATTTTGGCTGTCCAAATTTGACAGATTGGGCTGTCAACAAGGTTCTCCTCTGCAATACAGGTTAGTTCACACACTTTTCACAGCGATGGACATACAAAATCTGCCACGGATGCACGACTGGATGAACCAACATATATATCACGGAGGTCGCAGAAATGCCCTCTTGGCATGCCTGGTTTCTTATATTCCCATTTGTTAAATAAATTAAGGTCTCATTTGCTTTTTGAAAAGTTACTTATCTGTATAAATATATTTGTTTCGAGTAAGTGTTTCTTAAGAAATATTTTTCAAAACAAGTTTATTTAATAAAAAA